ACCGCTCAGGAAATAAGGAATGTCATTGGCTTATTCTGGTGAGCTCCTTAGTGGCTGCTGCTATAGGATACAGGCTTTATTTAACATAATGGGAGTCCTTTGCTCCCCTAGCCAAGGCCTTGCACCCCCTCTGGAGAAAAATCTCCCCGAGGCATCAATCTCCAAGGCATCTAAGTTCCCTCCTTGGGCTGACACCTCACTCAGCCCCGTGGTGAGCTGGCTTGAGAAGCCTGAGCCTGCAGTCCCTGTAGTGGCTGCTGCTATAGGATACAGGCTTTATTTAACATAATGGGAGTCCTTTGCTCCCCTAGCCAAGGCCTTGCACCCCCTCTGGAGAAAAATCTCCCCGAGGCATCAATCTCCAAGGCATCTAAGTTCCCTCCTTGGGCTGACACCTCACTCAGCCCCGTGGTGAGCTGGCTTGAGAAGCCTGAGCCTGCAGTCCCTGTGGCAGTTCCAACAAAGGTGCATTATTTATCCCAGCTGCTGTTTTAATTAATATAGAGACATATTCAATACAGCTCGATAATAGTCTCAGCCAGGAAATAAACAACTCGCAGCTTCCTGTGATCGGCTCTTTCAGATTCTGGTTCTAACTGTCGGCTCAGCATGTGTGCAACTTGAACCGAGGCCCCAAACCAGCCCAAGCACGGATCCGCCACCTGTCAGTTCTCCACCCTGGGGGCTGGTTCTGCAGGCAGAGATCTCCAAGCACTAGCTTAACCTCTGGCTCCACCTAACGGCAAGAAATCCACACTCCCCTTTCACAGATGGACAAACTGAGCTTCATCAAGGAAGGTCCCAATAGGAGGAAACTAAATCAGCAAAGGAGACTAATGGTCCTCTGCTTGGCCTTCCACGCTGTCATTTTCTTCCCCTGCAGGAGGGGAAGTGATGTCAACTTTTTAGTTAGCATCTTGGTTTTCTCCAGCCTTTTGTCTGTGAATAGCACTTCACACACATCATTCAAAACAATATGGGATGGATGAGTCACTAGAAAGTCTGCCGAATAACAAGAAATAAACACAGGCCTGAAATGGAGCTGAAAGACAGAGGCACAAATGGTACCTGACGTCCAGTCCAAGGTTCTGAGCCAACATCCTGACCTTTGTCTGGCTTCCCAATCACTTGTATCCTCCTGTTAAAGCACTTCTGCGTGGGGCGGAGAAAGCTAAGTCGCCGGCGGGGCTGGCCATGGAAGGGTCTGCGCTCACCTTTAAATCGGGAGGCTTGCTTCGGGGACCTGGGTTGGGCGCCGCAGCAGCGCCCGCGTCTGAAGTTGGCCCACCAGCAGAGTTAGCACCCGTGGCCTCCCCAGGCCGGAGGTCCGCACCCGGCAGGTGGCAAATGGCATCTTCCAACCCGGCTCCATCCTCCTCGCCTTGCTCTTGCTGCAGCTCGTCGGATTTGCACCTCTTCATGGTGTATGTGGGTCGCTCGGGGGAATCTGTCCTTACAGCGCGCCGTCTTGGAGAAGACCGCACCCCCTCTTATACTCAGAAAAGAGCCTGGGGTCTAAACGATTAACGAGGAAAGGAGTCGGCGGATGACAATTTCTTGAATTAAAAAATAAATCTTTTTAAAGGGGGGAGGGGCGAGGAGGGGGAGCCTTGGTTACAGCTTGTAATAGTTCATTACGACCTGGGGAGCGAAGGCAGGGCACAGTCGCGGCTGGGCAGCAGCAGTCCTTGGGCAGTCATTGCAGCGGGAGGAGGAGGATCGCCCCCGGCCCCCGAACTTTCTGCTTCAGGGCATGGCAAGGCGAGGGATTTGGGAGGCACAGAGCATCCCTCCGGGTTGGCCAGGCTCTGGGCGAGGCAGGGCAGGGGGCAGCCGGCCGGGCAGGTCCTCTGCGGCCGCCCTCAGACCCGGCTGGAGCCCCCGGCCCTGCCACCGGCCCCCACCCCGCATGGACGGGTCGCAGAGCCGACCCTCTCGCTCCCCGCCGGCGCCAGGAGCCCAGAACCCGACTCCCCGCCGGCGCGCTGCCTGCTGCAAAGCCGCGGCCGCTGCCCCAGCCAGCGGCAAGCGCAACCTACCCCGCCCGCTGCCTCCGCCCGCGAGGGGAAGGCGAGGCAAGGAGGGAGTGACAACGGCAACCGGCCAATGGGAAACCCAGAGGGCCTAGGGGGCGTCGCGCGGCCACGTTTTAGGGTTGGTTGCACTGTGCGAGCCCCCAGGAGAGGTCTGGAGGGCTCTGCTGCTGCATTTTTGCATTGCGGAGAGCAGCTGAAGTGTAGAGGCGGGGGCGCCGGGACACCGGGACGCGTCTAAGCAGATTCCCGAGGGACCCTCCCAGTAAAGGCTCTCTCGGGATTTTCCCCACCCACTCGTTTCATTTAGTGAGGAGGGGGCGCAGTAGGGATGCTTATCATCACTGCTTTTTTGCTCTAACTTTGCACCTTATAGTATATACATCCCTTCAATGAGGAAGACCCCGATCCCCTCTAGGAAACTTAGAAACATAAACCTATGGCTACTTTCAGCCCTGCAAATGCAAAGGGGGTGGGGAGGGTGTGTGTCTCATTGCCCCTTCCCCGACTTTAGGCAACTCTCAGATAAGTTTTAGCTTTATGCTCAGAAATAACAAAGTATTTCGTATTTGAATATAATAATGTATGTGAGTCCCTTGCAAACTGAAGCAGCTTTTAAATAAGAAAGGGTATTAATGGTAGGATGTTGAGACGCAGGGAAGAGAAGGAATGCAATCTCTTTTTCTCACAAATCTCAGCTGTACTGCGCTGAGTAATCTGGAAGCAGACGAGAACAAATATTGGTGTTACCAAAATATGGAGTCTAGTAATAACAACCTCATCTGAGTGCCTACTGTACACTTACTGTGGATAGGATTTTTTTTTTTTTTTTTCCCCATCCAGCACCCTGGACTAGTGGTTCTCAAAGTATGGTCCTGGGACCAGCAGTATCAGCAAACATCACCTAGAAACTTGATAGAAATGCAAATTATTGAACACCAGCCAGACATACTGAATCAGAAATAGTGGGCCTAGAAATCTGTTTGCTAAAAGTCCTCCAGGGAATTCTGATGCAAGCTAACATTTGAGAAACATTGGCTTAGACTGTAGTAAAGGGGCCACTGAATCTGCGGGTCGCAGTGATGATCTCTACAGTGTTTTGCAGTTTACCAGTCTCTTTTACACCCATCATGCTATTCTAGCCTTCAGTTTTACTAGTCTGAGTTTCCTGACTCTGTTCTGTCTCCTCTCATTCCAACCAGTCATTTTAATGTGTATCCTAGAAGAGCCTAAGTTGTTAAGAATTTACTTCAGTCAAACAACTACTTTCTAAACTAGACAGCTTCATTTAGGATGGGTTGAGAATGTAGGAACACCTGCCCCCCGCCCCCATATCCACTACACAGTATCAGGAACAATGTAGAAACACAAGCTATGAGCCTTCAGCATTTTCAGTGGTGAGAGAAAGGCAGAGTGCCAGTGGAGACCCAGGCAGGACTAGGTAGAAACAGTGGGGACAGATTCCCAGATGTGAAGTTGTCAGGCAGAAGAGTCTACTGTCTGACTGGCCCCAGAGAAATGCAGGGCCCCCACAGATGGGGGCGAGTGCTGGGCATCAAGCAGTGGCCAGCAGATGGTGAGCACATGTGGATACAGGTTCATGACCTGACTCTAAACTGAAGAAAAGTGAAGGGAGTCAGTGTGAAGCTTTAAGGAAGCAGAGGCTATTATCATTTTTGATTTATGCCTCATATCTAGACTAGGTTGAATTTGGTCTTAAGTTTCATTTTTATACTATCATATATATATATAGTGTGATGGGCAGATTTCCTGTTTGTGGCCATATATAGCAAGGTATAATGCAGGTCAACAAAATGTCTGTGGTGTGTTTCATAAAATCAGCAAATATTTTACATACCATTTTAGAGAGGCAGGGTAGTATAATAGTTAAGAGCTCAGACTCTGTGGCCAGACTGCCTGGGGACAAATCCTGGCTCTGTTCTCCACTGACCATGTGATTAGAAGCAAGTTGTCTACCCTCTTTATGCCCAAGATTCCTCATTTTGAAGTGGGGATGCTGACAATACCTACCTTAGAGGGTGTTGGGTAATATATGTAAAGCACTTAGACATTGCCTAGCACAGAGTGAAGGCCATACCTATAATCAGAGATGTCATCCAGTTTCAAAAGCATCACACATTCTAGTCCAATGGTTCTATTCTTGGGAGTTCATTTAAATCTGTCTTGCCCATTTCTGACTTCTACTAAGTGTCATATTTATTATAGAACAAATACTCTACTGCCAAGGAAGTTTGAGTAGGAAGTATCTAGAGAGCTGTGTGACCTGCAACCTCCAGTTTGAAGCTGATGGCAAATTTTTATTAGCCATAGTAACTTCTTGAGTAGCTAAGATAAATAGAATCTGAAAGTACTCTAGTTGAAATTTTGTTTAAAGGATTGAATAATTCTATTGTTTCAGGCTTCTTTGGGAAAATATAGGCATACACTATGTTTTCATGCTCAAAATAAGACAAAATTTGCAGATTTACAATGCAAGAGATTATATTTGGTATGTAGGAGTAGCATTTGGCATTCAGCTTTGGCACCACTACTTAATTACAAGTAAGTAACATGGTGTAGTCAGAACACTAGTCTTGGTGTTAGAAAATCCATGTAAGAATTATGATTCTGTTACTCCCTGTGTGTCCTTGGGCAACCAAATCATTCAACTTCTCTTACCCTCGGTTTTCTCACCTATAAATAGGGACTGATAGTATCTATCCTCACATCGTTATTATAAAGATTAAACTAGATAATGAATGTGAAAATTCTTGACACATATTATGTGCTCAGTAAACCTGAATGAAACAAAAATAATTAACAAATTTGTCCAAGGCCCCTATCTACCACATGAGAAAGGCGGAATTGTCCCACTTAGCTTAATGCTTTTTGTGAAAGGAAATCCGAGTTACTATAATGAAAGGGGGCACTCCTAGTAGTATCAAATTAGTTAAACCAGTAAATTGTATAAACAAGGAAGATAAAAATCAGGGTAGAAGAACTGTTCCTTTGTCAACAGCCAGTTCATTTAGCTTGATAAACTGATGAAGTTTTGATTACAGAGGATGAGTTGCTGAAATCAACAGGGAAGCATAGAGCAGGTTTTGAGTTTTTCTATGTTTTTATA